GGGCTCCGGGGTAGTCCCGGGCTCCGGTGGCTTCCCGGGAGGGCAGCGCAGCGGGGCGGGAACCCGCGGGCGCTGCCCCGCTCCCGTTAACGATTCCCCGCAAGAGCGGCGGCAGCGAAGCCCCGGGACACATCCCGGGGCACTGCCCGCAGCCCGGCGGGCTCCAGGCGGCAGCAGCGGGACGAGCCCCGGGAGAGGATGGGGCGGAGCCGCTCGGGCATCCCGGTAGTGCCCGGAGGCCCAGCGGTATCTCGGCGATCGTTGCCCCGAAGTCCTCAAATTAATTATTAACAGCGGCCCGAGGGCAAAGCCAAGGCCGGGACAAACCTCACCCGGTCGCGTCCCGCTCCCCATCCCAGTGCCACCGCCGAGGATGTGGCCGTGCGCGGTGGCCGTGCTGCTGGGGCTGCTCCTGCTGCGGCGCTGGCACCGGGAGCGGCGGACGGTGCCGGGGCTCTCGGAGAAGCACGTGCTGATCACGGGATGCGACAGCGGCTTCGGCAACCTGCTGGCTCGGCAGCTGGACGCGCGGGGGCTGCGGGTGCTCGCCGCCTGCCTGACGGACAGCGGCGCCGCGCAGCTGCGGGCGGCCACCTCCGGCCGGCTGCAGACCGTCCTGCTGGATGTCACCTGCAGCAAGAGCATCGCCGATGTCACCGCCTGGGTCCGGGAGCGTGTGGGTGATCAAGGTAGAATGGGGGTGATGCCCTTGTTGTCGCCTTGTTGTCCCCCCTGGCTTCCCCTGCGGGGCAATCAAGGCTCTGTAATTAATTGCTGCCTGGCCAGAGGTGATTCTCTGGCGACATCCATCTGCCATCAGCTCCTGCAGGAGTGCTGCTCAGGCAGAGAGTTCAGCTTTCAGCCCTTTCCCCCCCGAAAATCAGCAAATTCAGAGCTGATTACCCCAACAGCTCTGCTGTCACCTCGCCCGCTTGTGCCAGTGCAGGCGAGACTGGTGCAGGGCATGGAAGAGCCCCAGCTCACCCCCTCCCCTCTGCAGGGCTCTGGGGGCTGGTGAACAACGCAGGGATCGCCATCCCCACCGGGCCGAACGAGTGGCTGAGCAAGGAGGACTTTGTCAAGGTGCTGAATGTCAACCTGGTGGGGCTGGTGGAGGTGACGCTGAGCCTGCTGCCGCTGCTGCGGCGGGCGCGGGGCCGCGTGGTCAACGTGGCCAGCGTGATGGGCCGCGTGTCCTTCTTCGGCGGAGGCTACTGCCCCTCCAAGTACGGCGTGGAAGCCTTCTCTGACAGCCTCAGGTAAGTCTGGACCAACGGCTCTCCGTCAGGATTTCCCAACTTGTTTTTCTGGACTTTGTCTGGCACAGCGGTCAACTCCCATCCCTGCCCGATCGTGACTGAGCACAGGTCGGACTCGTATCTGCTGCTGAAGTGTGAACAGCTCTTGTACTGGCATGGGACCTCCCCTGGGGACATTGGCCCTGTCCAAGATCCTGCAGGACACGGCCTTGCTGCCCTGAGCTTTGCTTTGTTCCCAACCCATCCAGATGTGGCAAACATTTGCTGACACACCATCTCAGCCACGTGCCAGGCTGGCACAGGGTCCACTGGTGTGGTCAGGCTCTGCTCCACACCTCTGGCATGAGGCTCCATCCCACAGGAGATGTGGGCAAGGAGTCTCTGCTGTGGACACTGCCTGTGTTCAAGATCCTGCAGGACGTGGCCCTGCTGCCCCAAGATTTGCTTTGTTCCCAACCCATCCCAAACGTTTGCTGACACACCATCTCAGCCACGTGCCAGGCTGGCACAGGGTCCACTGGCATGGTCTGGCTCTGTTTCACACCTCTGGCACCAGGCTGCATGCCATGGGAGATGCGGGCTCAGAGCCTCTGCTGTGGACATTGCCTGTGTTCAAGATCCTGCAGGACATGGCCCTGCTGCCCCGAGTTTTGCTTTGTTCCCAACCCGTCAAAATGTGGCAAATGTTTACTGGCACATCATCTCAGCCACGTGCCAGGCTGGCACAGGGTCCACTGGCGTGGTCAGGCTCTGCTCCACACCTCTGGCACGAGGCTGCATGCCATGGGAGATGCGGGCACGGGCACGCCGGGGTGCTGCTGCCACGTCCCACGGGACTCAATCCCTTGCAGGCTCGAGATGCGCAACTTCGGGGTGAAGGTGTGTGTGATCGAGCCGGGCTACTTCAAAACGATGATCACCAGCGTTGAGAGCCTGGAGAAGAATTTTTATGCCAGCTGGGAGAAGCTTCCTGAAGAAATCAAAGCGAGTTACGGGGAGGGTTACTTGAGGGATTGTAAGTAGCTCCCCCAAAGTCTGAGTGTTCCTCTTTGTCTCCTGACACAAGGCACATCCCCAGGGCCACGGGGGTCCCACGGGGGTCCCACTGCCCCAAAAGCCCCTGGAGCCACTTGGCTCCGCTCAGCTCCAGGGTCTCAGTGGCGTTTTCTGCCTCTGCAGTTGTGGCGGCTCTCAAGGTGCTGCAGAAGGGCTGCAGCACCAACCTGTCCCTGGTCACCAACTGCATGGAGCACGCTCTGACCAGCCTCCACCCCCGCTCCCGCTACTCCGCCGGCTGGGACGCCAAGCTGCTCTACCTGCCCCTCAGCTACCTGCCCTCAGCCCTCAGCGATGCCCTGTTTGCCATGTTCTACCCCAAACCTGCTGGGAAAGCCTAAGCTGGGGTTGCAGCTGGCAGCCAGGACCAGAGTGAGATCCAATAACACGCGGTGGGATCCAGAATTGGCTGCGACCAAGGCCTCAGCCAGATCCCCGAATTTGTAGCTGTGTGTAGCTCTGAATTTGCAGCTGTCTGTCCCTCTGTCCCCTGCTCACGCATGGCTTGGTCCTGAATAAAGACGCCCTGTCCCCTCCTGGCTGAGCGTGGTGTCACTCCAGGCTGTGCCTGGAAGCTCTGGCTCTTCCCCTGAGCACCTGCTGCCTTCAGGATCCAGCCCTGGGCAAGGTGCCAGGGGACTTGTCCAGACTGGCACCCCAGGTATTGACACATGGCAGCAAAACTCAGACCTGTTCCAACCTGAGCAGATTTCCCTCTGGGCAAAGAATTGAGCAGGCCTCTTACAGATTCCTCCTCTGCTTCCTCCTCCTGCAGAGCTGTTTGGGGGGACTGTCCTGCTCCATCACCGCATTTGGGGACACTGTCGCCCACCAATGCTGGGTGGGATGGAAAGGTCCAGGGTTGGTGCTGCTGGTGGTGCCTGGAGGGTTCCACCAAATCCAGCTCCGTGGGGCACTGGGATCCACCTGCTAGGGGCACAGCAGAGCCCCAGGCACGGGCAAAGTGGTGCAAGGCAAAGCCGGGAATTACAAAAACCACAAATCAGGAGGACAGAACCCACGGCGGCAGGGAGCTGCCGCAATCCCGGCTCTATAAATGCGCGGCCGCCAGCGAGCGGTGCCACCGCCGAGGATGTGGCCGT